TTAAAGAGAGCATGCTCGCAGGCTTTTGTATTAAGCTTTTACACCTCAACATCATTATGCCTATTCTCCAAACTGTTCTCTTTTCATTTTCTAAGGTTCTAAGGAGGAGAATTTGTAAAACCAACAAGAGCTTCTTTAGTTGCTGATCATTTCTTTTATTCTCGTGACCTTGGTGTTTGGTTGTGGGATGATATTGTAGAGGGAAATTAGATCCTTATAACTCTCAAGAGTTAACCGTCTTTCTTCCATGTAATTTTTCTCTTCGAAGATCGCATTCATGAGGCTTGCTCGCAACGATTTCCACTTGCAATGACGTACTGCTAAGTTATGTTAGACAACTCTAGATGATGATATCGTAAGTTTCTCTGAGCATAATTATGTGCGATACGCAATTCTTTGGTCACTCTCCGTACATGTGACAAAACACGAGGTGACAGACAGAAAATTGCAGAAAAAGCAGAAACACAAACAGCCAGTGACACTACGAGGTGGTTGAGTTGCAATTGTATCTGCTTATTTATCCCATTTTCAACGAGTTTTCATTACTGGACGTTTAAAATTTCTATGAAAAAAAAGAGAAAAGGTTAAAAAAACAAATGGATTAACACGATTTTTAATAAATGCTTGTGAGGAATTTTGATTGTGGGAAATAGCCTCGATATTCTTGTTTAAAATCCCTTAGATCTCACGTGAAAATTGTTTCAACGTCCCAGCAGCTCCGTACAGAATTGTGTCCGCTAATGAACCTTTTCATAGAAAGTCCCTACGGGATGGGCGGACTAGCACTGAAATCTAGCAGGTTTCCGCTAGCTATGTTTCCAATGAGTACACTTTCACATCTCTGAAAGACTGCGCGAGAAGCTGCGCGTTGTACTCGGAAAGTAGCAGTGTAATGGAGGGCATGAAAAGCAAAGAGGACATTTCCGGCAGAGAGCTTGTTGGTGAAATGAAAGACATGCTGAATAATTTGATTTCTCAGTTGTCAGCTGCCGGGTTAACAGTCCACGTGCTTCAAAATCGCGCTGTTGTCACTGAACGAAACGAACTGAGAGCGTTCAACGTTTATGATGGAGAAGCGGCCTTGCAGTTTGTGAATCAACCGGACCATGCCGACAAAATTATTTGCTTCAATTCTGAGCGATTTTATTGTCATACAGAGTACCTAGTTCTTAGAAGTCAGTATTTTCAAGCTCTGCTTTGCGGGGTCTACCGCGAATCAAGCATGGACTTTATCTCCGTTCACCTGCCGGCGCCTGGAAATATGGAGCCTATTTTGCGCTTTATGTATTCGGGTATTGCAGAAGACGCGCTTTTTGAAGCTCACGAAATATTCAGCACGATTCAAAACGCTAATTTCTTGGGTGTCGAGGAATTGTTGAGTAAGGCAGCCGAAAACTTCGCCTTAAGGTGGAAAGTTAACGCTGTTTCTCCTCTTTTTAGGCGAAGTATTGTTGACTCGGAATTTTTGTCGTCGATTTTAGAATCGGGAACAAAAAACGCCGTTTTCAGCGAAGGAGACATGCTGAGAATTGTAGTTTTGTGGAACGAAGACGAAGAAAGCCCAGAATGCAATTTTTCCGAGTCAATCCGTCTTCTTATGGAGCACAAATGCTTAGAGAAATCAGGCTTGACAGATTTGGAATGGGCTTTAGGCAAGAAACCTCCGCTGTTTTGCTCCATTGAACAGTCCGCGTTCCGCCCAGTGTATCAACGCGCGATCCAGGATTCCACGCGTGCAGTCGAGAGAATGCGTGTGCACGAGGACAAGATCAAGAGCCTTTATCAGTGCGTGCGCACGCTGACGAGACAACTTGAGGAAGTCCGCTGTAACAGATGCCAAATTTTCCTTCCTCGGGCCGCTATAAAGACCAGAACCTGTATTGTGACCCGACATCAGGGAGAGTACGTGGTGAACAAGGGCTGGAGTTGCTGCAGGCAGCTGATTAAGAGAAGCAGGGGATGTAAGCCCGTCAGTTTGTCCAGGCACTGCATGTCTTTGAATTCAAGGTCAAGATGATTGACACCGTCCCCGTTACTGTGACAACACCAGTGCACTGTGCAATGGCAACAGAGAATGACGTTATTCGTGATAACCTTTGTGAGCCTCGCAGTTAGAGAAACAATTTACATGACCATCGTTACTTTATAGTGTTATTAATCATTACTAATATATTATGTACAAGTACCATTTTTTAGTTTTCCTTAGGCACTAAATTTTCTCTCGGCAAGTTTTAAATCAATTTAGGTTTACGAGTTTTTTTTTCCAAAAGGAATTTTATTTTACGGTGTCTTTTACGACACTGTCGAACATCAGTTTTGTTAGTGGCATTTTACGATATTCATAAGAATTTTTAACTTTCTACAGCTTGTGATACGAGTTTGTTGTAATTTATTTTTTAAAAAACACAAGTTTTGGCTCGATTTATTTTAAAACATTTTAAAGATAGAGTTGAAAACCATATTAATCGTCTTGATGCATTAATCTGAATGAGACTAAGAATTTACTTTCGAACCTTCTCTCGTCTGTCGAAGCCAAATCCCATTTCCCCGTTTTTAGAGGTACTCCCCCTCCCCCCCCCAAGT